GTGAAACACTGCTAAGCACAAACAATTGGACAGATCCAGTATCTTGGAGGATGTGAATGGGAACTTTATTACTCTCTTGTCTAGTAAGAAAAACTACACCACTAGAAACAAACGGGTCATATCCGGGATCAATTCCTTCAACAACCGAGGGACACGTAATGCAAGAAAATCCAACACTCTTCGGGGCATGATGATTAGGAGACTGGTTTTTCTTCCTCAGATCTGGACAAACAGCAATAAGGTGACCAGTGTCATGACAATAGAAATACTCACGTGATTCACCCTGATTCGGTGCCGTAACTTTGGCAGTTTTCATACACTTTTCAAATCCATATTGGAAAGATTCATGGCACACAGACGAAACAAAAAAATTTTTATGAGTCAGTACAAATTTGTTGGTCGAAACAGCTGCTTGCGCGAGCATGTTAACTTTTTGTTCATTCAGATGTACGACAATTTTGTCCGGCAACGTGTTTTTAAAATCTTCCAATAACACAGGCTCGCGAAGTTGTTCGAAATTATTTACCTTGCTGGATTGACACCATTTATCAAAAAGAGTTCCCTTTTCACAGGTGAACTCAACGAATGTCTGATTGGCGACTTTTGAATGCTTATGGAATATTTGGCGATAAGCTTTGGGAACAAGCTCATATGCCCTAAGAACTGAGGCCTTTAGAAAATCTTCTCAATAGATAAAGCAGCACAGACTTCCTGAGCTTTACCAGTCAGTTTGCATTGCAACAAGAGTGACCAAATCTCTCTTGGCCAATGCAAAGCGACAGCTATTCGTTCAAACGCACTGAAGTAAGAATCAATCTCTGCATCTGTAAACGCAGGGACTAAACGAATCTGCCTACTAATTTCAAATTCACCAGCACCTAAAGTTTGGGGAACAGGAGAAGCAGCTGGAAGAACACTAGGTATAGGTGTTTGTGATACACTCGCCGGCATAGCCGCACTACGACGCACTCCCTTGGCCTCACACTACCTGACGTGCAGAAGCTGTGTATCATGTTC